ATAACTTTGCTGACCGGTACACTTTTGTTGAGTGATGGTGTTTCCATTTCGATTTTCTGCCCCTATCAACTTTCGATGTAAGGTATTGGCTTACCATGGTGACCAACGGGTGACGGGGAACATTGGTTCGATTCCGGAGAGGGAGCCTGAGAGACGGCTACCACTTCCAAGGAAGGCAGCAGGCGCGCAAATTACCCAATCCTGACACAGGGAGGTAGTGACAATAAATACCAATGCACGGTGTTTTTTATGCACTGTGCAATTGGAATGAGAACAATGTAAAGACCTTATCAAGGAACAATTGGAGGGCAAGTCTGGTGCCAGCAGCCGCGGTAATTCCAGCTCCAAAAGCGTATACTAAAGTTGTTGCAGTTAAAAAGCTCGTAGTTGGATTTCATGCGGGGTTCACGGTGTGTGGTGGGGGTGAGACACTGTTTCGCCTCCACCTTGCACTGTTTGGGCTCTGCAGTTTTAATATTCCCTGGTGGCGCCTTTGGCGCGTGCCCTTGATTGGGTGTGTGTCAAGTCACGTAGTGGTGGGGCGCTGTTGGGGGCTTTACTTTGAAAAAATTAGAGTGTTCAAAGCAGGCAGTCATTTGATTTGCTTGAATAGATTAGCATGGAACAACGGAAGAGGACTTTTGGGCCTGTACTGTTGGCGTGTGGTGCGGGGGTGTGGAGTGAGAAACCGCAAGGTTTTCTTATTCCACCCTCACCACATCGGGTCTGAAGTAATGATTAATAGGGACGGTTGGGGGCACTGGTATTTCGTTGTCAGAGGTGAAATTCTTGGATTTACGAAAGACCGCCGACTGCGAAAGCATTTGCCAAGGACGCTTTCATTGATCAAGAACGAAAGTTAGGGGATCGAAGACGATTAGATACCGTCGTAGTCTTAACCATAAACGATGCCGGCCAGGGCTCGGTGGGCAGCACAAACTTTTCTCAAGTGGAGGCGCCATCGGGACCTTTAGGGAAACCAAAGCGTTTGGGTTCCGGGGGGAGTATGATCGCAAGATTGAAACTTAAAGGAATTGACGGAAGGGCACCACCAGGAGTGGAGCCTGCGGCTTAATTTGACTCAACACGGGGAAACTCACCAGGTCCAGACATGGGAAGGATTGACAGATTGACAGCTCTTTCTTGATTCCAAGGGAGGTGGTGCATGGCCGTCCAGCTTTTGTTGTGAAATCTCTGTTTGATTACGGTAAACGGCGAGACCTTGACTTGCTGATTGGTGTGCGCCTGCGTTAGCAGGCGTTGGAGATTACGCGCAAGCGTGTCTTTTGATACACCACTCAGAGGGACACTCGGCGTTGCTATTGAGCGTAAGCCGAAGGAAGTTTGAGGCGATAACAGGTCTGTGATGCCCTTAGATGTTCTGGGCTGCACGCGCGCTACACTGACGGGGGCAGCGAGTATGCTTTGGGTGTTTGTGGTGGGGAAAGTCTTGTGCTTTTCTACGACAGACATCTATTCCTGCGCTGGAAGGCGTGGGGACTCTTGTGAAAACCCGTCGTGCTGGGGATAGATGCTTGCAATTATTCATCTTGAACGAGGAATTCCTAGTAAGCGCAATTCAACAGATTGCGTTGATTACGTCCCTGCCCTTTGTACACACCGCCCGTCGCTACTACCGATTGAATGGTTTAGTGAGGCCTCGGGATTGGCGCGTGGGCGCTGGCAACAGCTGCCCATGTCATCTTTTGCTGAGAACCTGGTCAAACTTGATCATTTAGAGGAAGTAAAAGTCGTAACAAGGTTTCCGTAGGTGAACCTGCGGAAGGATCATTCCAACAAGGAAAACGTTGAAAGGCGTGGTTGGTGAAAGGAAGGTGAGAATTGGTGAGGGAAGGTGAGGGAAGGTGGAGACACTGGACTGAGCCAACCGAGCCAACTGAGCCAACCAACCGACCAAATCGCTCTCGCACGCTTTTGTGTGTGGGAGTGAGCATTGTGTGAATGAAGACAAAACAAAGGAAAAGCATGTGCATGCGTGCATGAGCATTGTGTGTCGCAGTGGAGCACGCATATTGTGTGTGTTGCATTGCGATGGCAGTGCTCTTGCGTGTGTGTGGATGTATACATTTTTTGCCTCGTGCAAAGAAGAAGAAGAAATGATCACAGCAAGCAAGCGTGTGTTTTGGATTGTTGTTGTGGCAGCGGCTGCGATTGCACACACACGACAGTGTGGGCGAAAGCATCTTGCTGCAGCAACAGCAGCAAAGCCATGTGCGCTGAGCTGTGGACACACGTACATACATGATAACCACAAACGAGTGAGTGAGAGAAAGAGAGAGAGCGTTGTGATGTGTGTGTGAGTGTGTGCCAAC